CACGAAATAGGGTGAATACATCTCATTACAATGATTTACTGGTAGTCTCGAAACCCTACTTTAATACGAACGAGGGTTTAATCAGCAAGACGACTCGTAAAGGGAATGCCAGAGATCTGCAAGAGTCTAGACGCTCTGCTCGGTGAGGCGGCAGTGTACGTGCTTCTGGAACCTTGACGAATAGTGCCTGGAGTGATACGTAAACTGGGACTGGAACCGAGGGAAATCCGTCAAGCAAAAAGATAGTGAACGGATCTACGGGATCATGAGGGGATCCGGATTTTATGCCCGAGTCGGATTGACCGATCGAAAGAGACGGGGTTGGGGTGAATAATAAGTGTGATGAGGAAAACTATATTTGCCACATTTTGACGAGTGGAATGTAAACAATTGAGGAGTTGTGAGAGAGTGGGAGTCGGATAAGAGGGTGAAGAGTAGATAGATAGACCAGGAGAGAAAGAGGAGTGATTGTGTGACCGTTTTCTGCAGAACGTTTGTCAAGGGATTGACTTCACTTGTCTATTTTTACGAGTTCGTAGGTTGGTGCGGAGAATGGCAAAACTGACTGTTGACGCCGGCGAAACGGCTGAGAATGTACCAAGTCGACTGTCTGCTGCTGGCAATCATGGCAACTACTCTGGCAGACGACTTCGGATTAGGTGCGTTCTACATAGTCGCCTTGACAACAAGACCAAGTTGCGACAACGAGGTCAACCCACTTCTATTCCACCCTCCTCTTCAAGCTTTTGACGGTACGCATGATCCCGCCTCGCTGAGTAGGCCGACAAAGTCCGGATTCTCAAGCTGGATGGAAGACTAACATAGAAACCGAGTAATTGTCATCTTCCAACCTTGGCTTCATGTACCACATCCATGACCAACACGTCGAAACCTGGAAGAGAACGACTTTTGGAAGAGCAAGGCTGTGTGAAATTGAATGGAAACGTCACCTGTACTCATCAGATTGTGGGAAAATTATTCTTCTAACATTTGTTCATCTACTTTAACAAAATTCGATGAGTACGTCTCATATTACTGATTAACAGTTTGTAAGTAGCTTCACGAAGAGATTGCTTGCATGTGCAGGCACAGTCTGGGTCGGCGCTCGCACCTCGGCCGTGACCCGCGACAAATGATTGGGTCGGCGTGTGCGTGTGTAAACACGAGGAGTGAGATGACAGTTGAAAGAACCACAAAACGGACTGTCCGCGAGGCGGGGCTGCTCGAGTCTGTGGCTGACAGTGCTTGTGTTCGTGACGGTAATGGTGGTGTTGGTGGTGGTGGTGGT